CTATTAGAAATGGTTTCTGTGGAAATGAAACAAAATAATACACTTGTATGTCATATAGAGATATCTCGGTCAACCAGGGACCACATATGCAGTCGCCTAAGATCATAATTGAGCTGAAAAACCCTTACTGCCTTTCGATATCATCATCACCACAGCGGAGCTCGATGCATTATTCATGTACTTATGGTGATGTCCTTGTAAACAAGCTACTGCACGACCAGTAGTATGAAAGCATAGCACACTCAGTTACCTCCAGTGCATACAACTTGATAATGAGAACAAGCTACTGTGTAACTGCTTTATGGATTATGCCCACTTCAATTTACTAAAAATAGCCTACAATAAATAGTTTGCCATGCTGTGCCAGCACCAGACTCACATCTCCCAGGCTAACTGCATCTCTGACGGCATCAAGGGGCCTTGTGGAGGGACTGAGTCATATATCACATAGAAGAATCCATACTTTGACCACTGCCCAATGACAAAATCACCTCACCTCACAGTTCGCAGGGCGCATCCCATCCTTAGGTGGCAGAGGAAAGCCCTCAGGACATATTCACGACTTAACATGGTTAATCATTCAAATATGTATCTCTACAATGCTGTAGACCCCATGCCCTGCTGGCATTTGGCCTTCCAGTATCTATCTCAGGGACCCTCACTAGCCAGGGAAAGAGGACTAACAGAACACAGCACAGCAAATGCTTTATTAATGATTACATTTAAAAGAACTATCACTATGGGGATGGAAAGCATGCTCAGCAGTTAAGAGCACAAGCTGCTCTTGCAGAAGACCTGGGTTCGGATCTCAGTACCCACATGATGGCTAACAACCAGTTCTAGGGTATTCGATGCCCTCTTATGGCATCTTTGGGCATTGCATGCACATGGGTGCATGCACTTACATGCAGGCAAAACACTCATAAAATGAAATACGATAAAAATTAATTTAAAACGCTATCACTAGTCAGTGACTACCAGATTATGCTAGGTATTGTGTGCTACATGCTTTATATAATACAAGTGCTTAGGCTTTCTGGTCTGAATACCTGAGTTCAAATTCCAGCATTATTGCCAAATACTTATGCCATCTTGGCCTTGTGAACTAATTTCTCTGAAACTTAGTTATCTCATCTTAAAAAATACAGATGTAAGAAAAAAGATATCTATAATCTGCCAGAAAATTGCCTTGCATACATTAATAAGTATCTGTTGGCCAAGGGGTGAACTAAGCACTGGAAGCAGGGCTGAGGACCATATGGAAGGCTGACACCGGGTGGCTGTGTTTTCCCAGCCCTAGATTGTTTGTCTGTGGAGGACTGAAGGCAGGTGAATGTATGACAGGGTTGGTGTTGAGTGGCTTTTCTGGTTTGGAACCCATTCTAGGACAAAAATGTCAGCCACAGGGACCAGAGGCTAGGTCCACAGATGAAATGGTTGGCAAGAATCAAGCAAAATACCCCACATAAGTAGGGTAGCCCTCCAGAGCAAAGATGGATGGTGAGGATGGGAAGATGGGAGAAAGTGATCCATGGTCAGGAGATGCTGAAAGCTCTGGGCTCTCCCAGGCACCCCTGGGTTTCCACTCCCCAGCCCCACATTGTAGCCCCACGGGCTCACACTGGCTCCAGGCCAGGCCTTCAGCAGCGGACAGCAGACAATTCACTTCACATTTTTTTTTTGTTCCATCTCCTTATCTCCAGTCAGGAGAATGATCCTAGTCTTTTCGTTTTTTGCAGACTTGCTGAGAGAATCAAATGTAGAAGAACCTTGAAGAAGATACAGTTCTACAGAAATGATGCATTATTAGTACTGACGTCGTTACTATTGCTGCTGCGAGGACAACTACTAATGACAGCTGTAATAAACTGGGGGCTGGAGAGGTGGCTCAGCAGTTAAGAGCACTAGCTGCTCTTGCAGAGGACCCGGGTTCGATTCCCAGAACCCACATGGTGGCTGGGGATCCAATGCCTTCTTCTGACCTTCATGGGCATTGCAGACATACTTACATACATGCAAGCAATACATGCATACACACATAAAATAAAAAAAATAATAAAAATTTTCTCAATAAATAAATAAATAACCAAATAAATAAACAAACAAACTGAGGCTAAAAGAGATAGGGCCACCACCTGAATAAAGACCCCAAAGTTTCCTGCTGGGACAAGATTAGACCCCAGGAACTAAGGTTCTGGGCACACAGGACCTATCACCTGTCAGTCCAGACACCAGCTTTGTCCACTGTGAGTAAGACAAGGGTGAAGATCAAACCCTAGAGAGAGGGGAGGGCTGCAGAGTAGACCAGGGTGAAGCTGCCTGGGAGAGATCAATACAGGCATTTCTATCTGACCCCAAAGCCTCCCCTTGCCCTTGACTACCAGCCATTTAGAAAGTACACTCCCCAAAACAGTATGCGACAACCTTTGCAAAGAGGCTGAGTAGACAGGTTCAACAGAATACCAAATTGGGATTCAAATGCAGGCCTGGTATATTCCACAGGGATGCCTGGAGCCAGGGGCCTCTGCCATATAGCTGCTCTGTCCCTCCAAGGTACTCAGCTCCTGGCAGGGTACCGTTAGAATGAACAGAAGTGCTACAGACAGAACTGCACATGGTAGGTGCTGTGTTAGGTCTGCAACAGAGCCCTGCAAATCAGCGAGTAGCAGCCACACAACTGAGCCAGTGAGAGGAACAAAACTACGCAAAACCCAGACCTGTTCACAGGAACATTCCTGTAGCGTCGCCTGATAAGTCTGTTGCTAAGCCTGCCTCGCTTCCTGTCACCGTCACCGAGCACCTGCTTCTCTCCAAGGAAAGATAATCGCTCTGGGAACCAGCTCTGCTCAGGAGACCTGGCAGAATGCTTGCAGTGTAGGGCCAAGCTTGCCTTTCAACAGGGCTTCACCCTCTGCGTGGGATGAAGGGAAACTCTACCTGGCAAGGAAAAGCTTTGCTCTGTTGGGTGTCTGAAGTTGAAAGTGACCTGTAGGGAAAGGAAGGATCACACCCCCTCCCTGGAATTCTCAGCTCTGAGCTTGGAACAAAGACCCCAAAGTTTCCTGCTAAGACAACATGAAGCTTCAGGAACTGGTATTCCAACAGCCAGGAAGCTTTCACCTGTCAGGCCACACCCATCAGTCACCAGCCTCATTAGCACTGTATGAGACAAAGCAAAGGGAAAGAGAGGGAGGACCTGACCATGTCTCTGTCAGGTCCCCCTCCCTCTGCAGCTCCAAGGCAGCGGGGAGGGCTGCAGAGAGGGACCTGACTCAGATCAATACAAGGAACAGACATATTTTTCAGTTGACATCAAAGAAGAGGGCAAGGGAGAACTGGGTGATCCTAGCCAGGATGAAGGAGGGATGGCTGCCTGTTGCCATCAGAGAGGTTGGTGAGGCTTATTAAAAATCCATTTCAGGGTCCTGCTGAAAATTTACACCTGGAGTCATATTCTATTGCTGCTAGAATTGCTTTCTAGGAATAATATCCATTCTCACAGGTTTTTTTAAGCTCTACTTTCTCCCCCTATCCCATGGCACACCTTGCACACCTTATGTTGATCTAAATTAAACAGGACCACCAGCCAACACACACACACACACACACACACACACACACACACACGCACACACACACACACACACATGCACACACACACTCAAACAGAAACTCTAGGTTGGGCCTGGAGGTTATTCACGTACCCTTTGAAATTCTAGACTTTGAAGGAGTCCAAGAACTACATCTGTGGGAGTTGTCCACCATATAAACAAACAGCCCAGCCTCTAATCTCTACCACTCTCCACGCTGTGCCCCAGGCAAGGCTCTGCAAAGGCAGGAGTTACAAGCTTGCTTTAGAGTCCAGAATCTTTATGCTTAAAGCAGCAGCCTTCAGCAGGGTCACTGCTGAACAAGGAGAATGGGTCTCTCTGATATGCTAAATCTAAGCCACTTGGAGGAGGTGGCCCTGGCTCTAGGCAGATTTCTCTCTGGTTCCCAGCTTACCTAAAGCTCACAAGGTGCCTTCCCTCCCAGGCAAGGAAGACATTGCTTTTTGTATAAATGAGCCAGTCACAATAAAGAACCCTATGCAAAACATTCTTGCATAGGGTCTCCATCTTGCCCATCTCCTCCACACCATCCTCATGGCTCAGGAGTAGGCACAGAAACACCCACTTGTGATGAAGTTTCATTATACATGTATGAAACTGTCAAAGGATTTTTAAAAAATGTCCATTCATAAGCTAAAACTCCTGGAAGGCAGTTCATTGAGATCAGAAACCCCTAGGAATTAATCTGCATCCCAAGCCCACACTGGACCATTCCTTATTTACGGCCTTAACTGCCTCTTTCAGATGGCAATAATCACTTGCATTCCATTTTACAAAGCTGTGGACCAATCACAAAACCCCACAGCTATCAACTCAAAGCAGGAGTCAGACGTTTCCACGAGGCAGTAATGAAGGGGAGGAGGAGCTCCTACACCAGGCACAGCCTACACCATATTTAGCTTGTCATTCCCTGTGCCCAGCACAGAGGTTGGTGTCTAATATTCTCAGGAAAAACAGTTGGAAAGAGTGAATGCAAGTCAGCAAACCCAAGGACGAGGGGTGAAGGAACTTGATGAAGGTCACAGAACAGTGCGTCGCAGGAGCTAAGCGCAGATCTGCTGGCCTGAGATGCACCAAACATTCACCTCTAATGGAAGGACAGTATATGCGTATTATACCAGCCTCAGTGCGGACCAAGGTTTACCAGGGAAAGACCTAATACCTAGGTGTGTCAGTATTGGTTACCAATTCACCAGCTAAAATGTCCAGCTGGATCATGGGAATAAAGACAAATAACCAACACAATTAGTGCCTAAATGCTTCGAATTTCCTTACTTGAATTCCACGAAACAGAAAAGTTTGGAGCCTGGGGCCAATGGGCCTGGCAGGTAAAGCTCTGGAGACCAGAAGTATGTGTTGTTTCAGGCCTGGTTCAGCAGCATCACTTACCTACTGCCCAACTGTCCAAGAAATCACTAGCCCGCTCTCAGTCTTGGTTTCTCCATCTGTAAAACAAGAAGACAGCCACAATGAACCGGATGTCCTCTGCACTCAGAGGCATCATAAAATTTATACCTAATGTTGCCTGCCACCTTCTCACGACCCGTTGTGACTGAGGACACTGTTGGTGGTCAGGCATCTCAAGGGAACTAGTCCCCAAATGAAGTATGAATACACAAAATTAAGTCTGATAACGAACAGTTCTGTATCCAGCACGGCTACTAACACCAAATAGCACTCACATCTCAGTACAAATTCAGCCTTCTAGTCACTTGGGCATGTGTGTTTGTTTTTCAAAGATGTCAACACACAAAAGGCTGATAAAAACACCACGAGAAAGAGCCAAGAAAAGTGCCACAGGCGCAGCACACTTTCTTTCAATATTTGGGGGTATTTTTTCCAGTTCTTTTTTCGTCCGTGAATACGGTTGGCCATTTGTCAGAGCAGGACTATATTATTTAAAATCTGAAAGCGCCCAGCAGATCTCAAGGACCCCTTTCTTGTTCCTGGTGTTAGACGAGGGCCATGACCTTTGTACAGGGCCTTTTCTTCCGTCTTTTCTCACTTTGCCCCAAGCACTTTGCAGGCCTGCGGTCTGGTCTCTGGCAGTTAGCACTGTCTACACCTGCGCATGATCTGCACCTGGACCCAGTGACATGAGGAACGGACAACTTCAATCCTGGCACTGAGCCCAGTCTAGGTACTACTACCTCACCTGGAAAATAAGGAACCTGGACCAGCCAATTACAGATACCCCTTTCAACTCAAAAGCAAAAGGCAGAACAGGAAACTCATCTATCTGAATACCTACTGTGTGACAGCTATTGAGCCGATACCATCTACAGATTATCTCATGATCCTCATAACTGCCCTGGGAGATTTTCACAGCTGAGCAGACGACAGCTCAGGCAGGCTGGGTGTTCCTTCCCAGGCTGCTGCGGCCGCCGGTGCTACCTTCACAAGCTTCTGCCATATCCATGCATCACTCACTCATTTTTTTCAAATCAATTTATATTGTTTACAGCTTAAAATCTTTATTTATTTCTTATTTATTTTGGTGCATGTGGTGGCGGGGGCACATGTCATGGTGCACATGTGGAGGCCGGAGGGCAACTTGCCAGAGTCCGTTTCTCCCACCAAGTGGATCCAAGTAGTTGAATTCAGGCCATCAGTCTTGGTGGCAGGTACTTTACCTACTGAGCAATCTTGCTGGTCCTTTGCTTCATTTTGAAAGAATTTTTTAAAAAGTTTCTGTAGTTCTTTATTTCTGGCATTTTTCTCTGTAGTCCCATAAGAAGCAACCTTACACTGTAGATAGAGTCTAAAATTGCAAAAGAACTGCTAGCAGCATAAGGGAGTTCATAACTGTAACCATGCTACATACAAATGTCCATGAACGCTGTCTATATAGCGTCTAGATAATGCTATCTTATTAGAATATGTAACTTCTGAAGTTTAACATGCTCATCTATCTAGCATCCCAACTCTGAAGCTTCTCTAACTATATATACTTTGGGATGCTGGTGTGAGGTCCCTTGTGACACTGTGACCTCAAAACTAAGCGCTATTACATTTCAAAGCTAAACAATAAATCCACTTTATACTTGGTTGTGTGTCAACAAAGTTTACCAAGGTCACAGGGATGGTAACTGAAGGTGCCAGGCCTTGCCACCCCTGACCCAGTGCTCCCTGAATGTGGTTGCTGCCCCCAACCTGTTCTCAAACTTCACATCTACAATTCTTTGACATCTGGCCACTAATTAAGTTCTATTTCCAAATCAAGGCAGGGTCATCTCATTGTATTACACTGTTAACTTTTCCATAAAGCGATGAGATCCCATTGATACCTATTTAAGTTCCTCAAGGGGCACTTTGATAAGAAGCATCCATGCTTTGAAAAATGTGGCTGAAAGTGATTCTTTATTCAAAGATCCAAGATAGTAACCAAGGGAATAGAAAGAGCTGGTCACATAATATCCAGGTCAAAACTGGCACTGCAAATGAGGACAAAACCCCAGCATTCAAGAGGCTGTGCTGGACATGACTGAAGTCACAGGGGAGCATCTTCCAGAGCTCTGAGCTTCCGCTTCCTGTCATTGGTTCAAAATTAATTGGCATGAATATTTTTTTATTGGCCAGAGTGAATAGGTGGAAGGGGCTGTAGAACGGCTCTGACTTTCTTGGTACAGTCTTCATTTTTATACCAAAGATGAGCTAAAAGCTTGGCAGAAGCCACCTGGTTAGTTAGCCACTCCTGCTTCAACCACCACCCCTCCCTCTCTTGAATCCTTTGCTACTAATCCAAGTCGGAATTAGTTGGTCACCACAGTTTGTTATATTGCAGTCCTATGTCGCTTTCTCTTTTAAAAACTATCATTTTTATTTACCTGAATACACCAAATATTTTAAAAATTCACGACTGCTCTGGCAGTATCAGTTTAGATAAATTTCCCTAATAAACCTTTCTATAAGAACACTGACATGTAGGGGCTGGAGAGATGGCTCAGCAGTTAAAAGGAGTGACTGCTCTTGCAGAGGACCCGGGTTCGAGGCCCAGCACCCACATGGCGGCTACAAACCATCCTTAATTCCAGTTCCAGGGGAATCCGAAGCCCTCTTCTGACCTCCGTGGCTTTGCATGACACGGGTGTACTCACATACATGCAGGCAATGCACTCATATAAAAATAATAAATAACGTCATGTTAATTAGTAGAGGTGATAAACATTACCATTGAAATCTACCCGATGACTTTAGACCCATACACAAATGCCAAGGATCCGAGTGCAACTGACTACGACTAGTAATAATCAGATACATACAGATTAGAGATGCAAGTGACAACATCTAAGTGTTGTCAGCAAAACAATGAGCCCTTCTGTAAGAAACAGTATATTTTAAAATGAAATGGATATCTTTTTTAAAGGTTAAAAACTCATTCAATTTTATGTCTTACAGGGTTTATACTGAGTTCAGTATTGTATAACTGTATTAATTCAACTGTGAACTTAAAAATTTTATAGCCACTTTTGAAAGAGATGTATCTTTGCTCTGGAAATTCTTATTAAATATGTTAAAGCTATAATGAAATGCTGATTAACAAAAGAATACTGACCCGTGGGCTGGTGAGATGGCTCAGCAGGGAAAGGTACTTGCTGCCAAGCTTGATGACCTGAGTTTGACCTTCAGGACCAACACATGGTGGAAGGAGAGAACCAACTGCTTCAAGTTATCCTCTGTGTGTCATGTTTGTGTCTCCCACACACAGATAAATAATTTAAAAATTTCAATACACAAACATCCACACAATACTCAGACACTATATAGAGTCATGCTCTATATACTGACTTTAATGCATTTATTTATCTATTTATTTAATGTGTGAGAGTGTTTTTCATGCAAGTAAGTGAGTGCCTCCTGTGAAATGCTCACAGAGGCCAGAAGACATCAGATTCTCCAGAACTAGAGTTATGGATGGTTGTTAGCCGCTCTATGGGTGCTGGGAACCAAACCCAGGTCCTCTGGAAGAACA